TGCAAGCAATCAAGTTCCAATCCTCCAACCAACCAATATTGTAAGGGATCATCCATTGGATACTATTATTGGTGATATTTCAAGAGGTATGCAAACTAGATCAAGAATGGCTTCATTTTATGAGCATTTCTCATTTGTGTCATCCATTGAACCAAAGAAGATAGATGAAGCATTGAAGGATGTTGATTGGGTAAATGCTACACATGAAGAATTGAATAACTTCACAAGAAATCAAATATGGGAATTAGTAGAGAGAACCAAAGGGACACAATGTGATTGGAACTAAATGGGTCTTTAGAAACAAGCAAGATTAAGATGGGATAGTAGTAAGGAACAAAGCAAGATTGGTAGCACAAGGATATACACAAGTTGAAGGTCTTGACTTTGGAGAAACTTATGCCCCGGTTGCTAGATTGGAAGCAATTAGAATCTTGCTAGCCTATACTTGTGCTCACAACATCAAGCTTTATCAAATGAATGTCAAGAGTGCATTTCTCAATGGTTACATCAATGAAGAAGTATATGTTGAGCAACCTCCCGGTTTTGAAGATGATGAGAAGCCCGACCATGTGTACAAGTTGAAGAAGGCATTGTATGGCTTGAAGCAAGCACCTAGAGCATGGTATGAGAGATTGAGGGACTTCCTACTCTCTAAAGAGTTCATGATGGCAGGGTTGACACCACTCTTTTCATCAAGAAAATTGGAAAAGATTTGTTTGTGTTGCAAATCTATGTTGATGACATCATATTTGGATCAACCAATCAAGACTTTTGTGAAGAATTTGAAAAGATGATGGCTAATGAGTTTGAGATGTCCATGATTGGAGAGTTAAGTTACTTCCTTGGTCTTCAAATCAAGCAATTGAAGAATGGTACATTTGTGAGTCAAGGCAAGTATATCAAGGACATGATCAAGAAGTTTGGCTTGAGTGATAGCAAAGCCATTAGTACACCAATAGAAACAAATGGCAACTTAGATAGTGATGCAAATGGCAATTTGGTGGATCAAAAATTATACGGTCTATGATTGAAAGCCTACTCTGTGTGACCGCATCAAGGCCGGATGTCATGTTTAGTATATGCATGTGTGCAAGATTTCAAGCCTCACCAAGAGAGAGTCATTTGAAAGCTACAAAGAGAATATTGAAGTACTTGAAGCATACATAAAATGTTGGTTTGTGGTATCCCAAAGGAGCAAAGTTGGAGCTAGTTGGTTACTCTGACTTGGATTATGCGGGATGCAAGGTTGAAAGGAAGAGCACCTTGGGCACATGTCAATTGTTGGGAAGATCATTTGTTTCTTGGTCATCAAAGAAGCAAAATAGTGTTGCATTATCAACCGCCGAAGTCGAATACATATCCGCAGGTAGTTGTTGTGCACAAATACTTTGGATGAAGGCCACCTTGAATGACTTTGGAATCAAATTCAAGAAAGTGCCATTATTATGTGATAATGAGAGTGCAATCAAGTTAACCAACAATTCGGTTCAACATGCAAGAACAAAGCACATTGATGTCCGCCATCATTTCATAAGAGATCACCAACAAAAAGGGGACATTTGCATTGAGAGTGTGGGCACTGAAGATCAACTTGCCGATATATTCACCAAGCTATTGGATGAGAAAAGGTTTTGCAAGCTAAGGAATGGGTTGAACATATTGTATTTCTCAAATATATGTTGATGCACCCCCCCCCCACTTATATAGCAAGCCTCTCCTTCGAGCAATCCAAGGTAAAAGTTGATTGGTGTGGCATACATCCTTGCTAAGGACATGTTTAGTGCATCTAGACATCTTTCACATTTAATAGGCTCATTCATGAAAATCAAATGATTTTGATGTTTTTATGGTACCACTATTGTTTCTATGCTTATTTTGGTCTAGTGGTAGCATATGACATGTTTGTGGGCTTGTAAACCTAGTGTTTGATCTAGAAAATGAGCTCTAAGTGTTTACTCAACATGGTACAAGATAACCCTAATTTGGAGGTGTGAAGAAGCTTGTCCTTGGATCAAACTGAGTTAAATGTCTTTGGCAAGTATTCTAGATTGAATCAAATTTGGGAAAATGATCCTCACCCCATTGATTGACCTTGATAATCTCAACCTATCTACATTTTGAACCTTTGTGATCATTGATGACAAAGGGGGAGAAAACAGTGTACAAAGATAGTGAAAAGACAACAAAGGGGGAGAGAAACAAAGATATAAGTGATAGGGAGAGAATTTGACATAGGGGAGAGATATGGCAAAGGAAGAGGATCAATTAAAAAATTGAGCACAGGGGACCAATTAAAATTTTGAGCACACAAGTAGGGGGAGCAAGCTCATAAACTTGGTGGATGCATTTAATTGTGCATTTCATATGTTTGCTTGCATGGCACAAGTTTTAAATTTTAATATCCATGCTTGTGTGGTGTATGCTAGTTGTAGGTTTGAATGATGAAATGAAAAACTAGCATACATAGGTTAAGTAACTAGACTCATGCTCATATTATGAAAATTAGATCCTTACTTGTAATGTTGATCTCACGGAGTATTCTAGTTTTTGTGTATGTCTAGTTACTAACAGTGCTAATGATGGTATATTGGTGCACTCCGATTAGTATCAAGCTTTAAAGGTCCATCTTTTATACCTTAGCATCATTTGGTAGACATTGTCTCCTATATTTCCTATATAAGCATATATGCAAGCTACAATCCAAACTCTTAGCACATATGTAGGGGGAGCAATTGCTACCATTTGGGTTCATGAAACTTGTCCATATTCTTTTACACATGGTAAATATGCTTGGGCAAGCAATACGGATTCAATTAAATTTCAATTCATATCTTTGTGTAAGGGTTGTCATCAATTACCAAAAAGGGAGAGATTGAAAGCTCTAGATTGGTTTTGGTGAATTGTTGAAACCCAAAGTGCTAACCTAGTTTATCAAAGTGATTATGAGATAGGTAGCACTACTCCAAGTGGTGAAGCAAATGAAGATCATGATATGATGATGGTGATGCCATGGTGATGATCAAGTGCTTAGACTCGGAGAAGAAGAAAGAAAAACAAAAAGCTCAAGACAAAGGTGAAATTGATAGGAGCTTTTCTGTTTAGTGATCGAGACACTTAGCGAGTATGATCACATTTAGGATCGATAGCCGTACTATTAAGAGGGGTGAAACTCGTATTGAAATACAGTTATCAAAGTGCCACTAGATGCTCAAACTCATTGCATATGCATTTAGGATCTAGTGGAGTGCTAACACCCTTAAAAACATTTGTGAAAATATGCTAACACACATGCACAAAGGTGATACACATTGTGTTTAGCACTTGGGAGCAATGGTTCAAAACTTCACCGGCACCCTGTACAGAAAAGATAGGGTTTCACAAAGTGCACCGGATGCTGGGTCCTACATCCGGTCAGTGGCACGTAGTGAAGGCCGCCCTCGGTCTCTTGATGTGGCAGCGCACAGATAAAACCGTGAGTGACCGGACGCTGGGCGAATCCGGTCGGGCTTGACCGAACGCATCCGATCATGAATTTCCACCTTTGGAACCTTACTGGAAGTGACCGGACACTGGGGTCCTACGTCCGGTCGTGATCAAACTTACACGTTCGGTCGCGACTGCAACCTTACTGAAAGTGACCGGACGTTGTGGTCCTGTGCCCGGTCCTACACTGTAGAGCGTCCAGTCACAACTTAAGTACACTGATGACCCTTGAGATCGGACGATCAGCATTTGAAGCAGGGGCCACGTGGCATGCATCGCGCAACCGGACGCTGGGGTCCTGCGTCCGGTCGATCTGACCGGTGCGTCCGGTCGCCCCGATTTTTCAGGGAACAGAGAGCCAACGGCTCTATTCGTGGGGGCTCTCTATTTAAGCCCTATTGTTGGCTCTAGCTCACTCTCTTGGCCATTTGTATTGACATAGCAATCTTATGAGCTTAGCCAAAGTCCTCCCACTCGTCTCCATCATTGATTCATCACCTTTGTGAGATTGTGAGTGAATCCAAGTGCATTGCTCGAGTGTTTGCATCTAGAGGCACATGGTGTTCGTGTTTCGCTACGGGATTCGCTTGTTACTCTTGGTGGTTGCCGCCACCTAGACAGCTTGGAGCAGCGTGGATCGTCGAGCGGAGGTTGGTGATTGTCTCCGGCTCCGATCGTGGTGATTGTGAGGGGTTCTTGACCTTTTCTTGGCGGAGAGCCGAAAGGTACTTTAGTAAATTACTCGTGGCTTGTGTGATCTCATCTTGTATTGGTTGTGCGGCACCCTATTGAGGGTTTGGCGTGTGATGCCAATTAGCGCGTGAACCTACAAGTGAGTGAATCGCCACAACGAGTAGTAGCTTGTCGGCAAGTAAGTGAATCTCAATAAAAATCATTGTGTCGTCATTTGATTCCGAAGTGATTGGTATTCATTCTTGTAATTGATTGGTTCATTTCTCGACTCGGCGGTATAACCATCTTGCTCTATCTCTTTACATTACCGTAAACTAGTTGTCAAGCTTTTTAGTGTAGCTAGTCGTGAGAGCTTGTTAATTTGGTTAGTGGAGCTCTTTAGTTAGCCTTTGAGAGCACACTAACTTAGTGTAGCAACATAGCTATTGTGTAAATAGAGACTATAGAAATTAGAATTGTGGTAGGTGTCTTGTATTTTTAGTAGGCTAACGCAACACTCGCTTCGCCTAATATTTGTCTAACCGGTTTGCTAAGTGTTGTTGTAGAAGTTTTTAATAGGTTATTCACCCCATCTAGCCATTAGGACCTTTGAGCCGGGAGCCACCAGCACGCGGAAGCGCCGCCACCGCACCTGGGACATCGAGACTCGCTACTTGGCGTCGCTGCCTGAAGATCTGATCCACGTGGTGGCGTGGCGCGTGCTGGCCTGCGGCGACCTGCTGGACTACGTCCGCTTGCGGGCCGTCTGCACCAGCTGGCGTTCTGGCGCCGACTCCCCGCGCGGCCGCGGCCTGGCCGACTGGCGCTTCCACTCGTGGCGCTGGATGATGTTTCCCAAGGGCCACCGCATCTACCCCGGCCACCCAGCCCTGGGTAGGTGCGCCCGGTTCCTCCACCTCGACACGGGTGCCCTGGTCCGCGCCCGGGTCCCGTTCCTTGGCGACAGCTACTGGGTCGTCGACTTGGTCAACGTCCTCCTGCTGCTAGTGCGGGACCTAGACCCGGACTACGGCGGCGCCGTCCGCCTCCTCCACCCTTTCACCGGCGACTTCACCGAGCTTCCACCCCTAGGGACGCTCCTCCCGCACCTGGGCCCGTAGCTCCACGGCTGTCCTCCTCAGTACAGGATCAGGAGGCTTGTAAAAGTCATCTCTGCTTCCGTTTCCTTCGACGCCGCCAGAGCCATGACCGTCATGCTTGCACTTCCTGGGGTAGGCCGTGCGGCCTTTGCTACCCCCTGGACCAGCAGACTCTGTCGAGCTGGGAACATGAAATGAGGTTTCCATTGTCGTTCCAAGGCAAGCTGTACGTGCTGCACACTCCCTTCGGAGAAGACGTACACCAGGTTCTCCAGATCGACCCACCTGTGCAGTAGGATGGGGCGGGCGGAGGTCAGTCGCTGCCACCGCCAGAGCTGATCGCCACAGTCCCTAAAGACAATCTCCCCAATCCTAATTTAGGCCTGGCAGAGTGTGGTTCAGAGATCCTGGTGCTTGGTAACTACTTTGATTTATCTGGGACGTAAATCTTCGTTTACAAACTAGAAGACCTTGTGCTGCAAAGGTTTGTCCCAATAAAAAGCCTCGGAGGCAATACCTTGTTCATGGAACAGAGGAGCATAAGTGTTTCCTCCAAGATACTGCATACGGTCAAGGGTATAGATGGCCAACGGGCCATGCCGGCCCGATGGGGATCTTGCCTCGACGGGCCGTCGTGCCTGCCGTGCCGTGCCTCCACGGGCTTCGTGCCTGGCCTAAGGCCCATGACACGGCCCATGGGCCATCTGACCGTGTCGTGCCGCCCGTTGGGCACGGCCATTTTTTCCGTGCCGTACCGGCCCACAGCCCGACAACCAAAAAACATCTCATTTTCACCAGATTTTCACCGAGTGTTTGAACCACTTCTTCATTTTCACCAGTTTTGAACAAGATTCCATCATTTTTATCACCATTTTCACAAAAGCTCAGAGATTCACATTCACCACAGTACCACACAATCACAAATCACAACACAAGAGAAAATGATGATCACAAATCACAACACTAGAGGAGGAAGACGTGGCGTCAGGCACCACCAACCTACGAAGAACAGAGGACAGAACAGAAGAACAGGGGTGAGTCAGTGAGTGAGTAAAAGATGGACAGACACAACACAGATCTAAGGTTAGGGTTAGGCTTAACCCTAACCTGCGCCACCGGAGCCTAGTGCCGGAGAAGAGGCCAGGGAGGCAGCCAGAGGAGGAGACAGACAACAGTTACAACGACGGCGAGCGGCGGCGGAAGGACAGACAGGCACGACGAACTCACATGGTACACCGGAGGAGGGGGAAGAGGGGATAGGAAGGGAAAGGAGGGAGGAGATGGTTAGCGAACTCAGGTCGAGGTGGACGAGCAGCGACGAGGTCACCGGAGCAGGGCCGGCGAGCTCAAGGCGAGCAGCGGCGAGCTCTAGGCGGCGGATCGAGAGCGAGCGAGACGAGACGACTGCGACTGCGAGTGGCGGGAGTGGAGTGGGATTAGGGTTAGGGATCGGGGGGGCTGGGGGGCATATATATACGGCCGCGGGGGAGGTGGCTTCGTGGGTTGGGCTGCCTGCGGCCTGTCTCACTAGCCGTTGGAGGCACCGGGCCGCTCACCGGGCCGCCTCTTTCACCAGGCCGTGCCCGTGCCGTGCCATGGGCCTAGGTGGCAGCCCAGGCACATCCTGGTCCTTCGGGCCGGGCCGGGCCGGGCCCGATGGCCACCGGGCCGTTCCGTGCTTGGACCGGGCCAAATTGCCGGGCCACGAGCCCGCGGGCTGCATGGCCAGGTATAGTCAAAGGGTGACAATGTTGTCTACTTCACTGGCAGCAGGATTGTGCAATACCACCTCGGTAGTGACAGCTTGTCAACGGCAGTCGATAATTGCAGCCTGTTTGGCCGTGCACCGGGACCTAGTCCCCTCGTCCTGTACGTCTTCAGCTGCTGCATTCGTAATCCGTGGTACTAGAAAACATAGGGCGCGGCGTTGCCGCGCCAGCTTATGCTGTCCCAGTGTCCCAGTACAGTATTGGCAATATTTGTTTAGTATATTCTTAGTATGATGGAAAAGGTGACAACGTTTGTGCTTTGAAAGCACCAGTACTCGAATTGATGGTTAGTAAACAGGAACATTTCATTGCAAGAGACATATTAGCAATCAGTGAAGAGCAAATAATTTTAAGCACCCTTGGAAATAAGCAAATTATAGCCGATTAAAGTTAATACGGATTATACACCAGAGTAATGTATTGTTTCTGTTTATTTAGATTAGCGCTACAAGATATGATAACATACCTCCTCATGACCTAGTACATCGATGGAAAGAGTTCAACTGGTATATCTTGAAACCACACCGTTCAAATGTGTAAACAGTAAAGTGCATCAAGGGTTTCACATTCGAGTATGGAGTCACAGTTCCAGATATTGAGAATCCCTGGATGTAAACCTTGCTAAAATGCAAAAAAAATGTTGTAGATAAACATGAACGAAGCCGATATGTAGGGAAAATCATTAGAGTGCATTTCCAGTTGGAATTACAGAAATTAGAAAGTGACTGTTGCCAATGCTCCATCCTTAGGGGCAAACTCATTTGTAATTGGATCTGTCTGGTGAGCAGCACACCACTGCTCCCCGTCTAGGTTCTACACTTGTTGAAGGAACATTGATGAATTGCTCCAGAAGTTGGCTCTTTGCAACACCTTGGTAATTGCCATTAAGTTTATATCTGCAATGGTTTACGATTACTAAGCTGAAAGCTGACAAATGGATTGCACAGTATGGACAACATTGCTTCCAACTAAATCAGCAACTAATCACACACACGCGCGGCATTCTAAATCCAGAGTATGGAATAGGGAGAAAATACTTCACGTCTTAATGCAACACAAAACCAGAATAATGCTGAGCCATTTAATTTAGTATAAACCAAAAGCAAAAGGCTAAAAGCAACTAACTTTCAAATCTAAAGATACAATTACTAGTTTTCAGTATTCTTAACACAAATATATGCATCTCTCCTGCATGTTCTCAAGAAAAAACTATAGCAGAATAGTACAGAGTATAGTGCCGCAAATGAGCACACTGCTCAAAGTGAAAGAAAAGCTACAGCTTGCTTTACCAGAGAAAAGGGCATGGTCTGCTAACTCTTGTAGTTTTAACTGCAGTGAAATGCACAAAAAAAAAACTGGGTTAATCTTTAGAACTCTGGAACAGAGAAAACATGGTAGGCGTGCAGATCAGGATATAGTAGTACTTTCTATGGCATCTCAGCAAATATCCTACACTACTCTAAGATAATTTATTAATAGACCAAAAGGTAACAAGAGAAAGTATTATATGACATAAATTACCTTTTGAATGGTATTGTATGACATATTGCAAGTGATAGATAGAACGCAGGTGGGGGTCTCCCCTGCTATATATAAAGTCCAAGAAAAAAAAGATAGAAGGCAGCTTTTGTGATACCACTAAATTGGAAAAACTATTGTAGGTCCTACAAACATGTCACAACCAGCACATCATAGTTCCCAGTTTAAATGAGATATCACTGTGCTGTGCTTAGTAGAAGTAGTCTAAACAGGGAACAGAAGGTAAAACTAAATTTGTCTAAACATATGGAGAACTTATTAGCATTTCAAAATTTGATACTAAGTAGGTACCAGTGGGGCACTTGTTCGAGCAGGCAGCAAAGCAGTAACATGAGTCATGGACAAAGCACCATTTTACGAAATACAAAGGAGAGAACTATCGACAGTCGGTGTATTATTTGTGTAGAACAAAGCAATATGATGAGAATTAAACTTAACTTTCCAGAAAAACTTTAGTATCAAACTAATCCAATTTCACTTGAAATGCAGTTCCATTGTATCATGAAACAATGGTTTAGTGGTAAAGTACTGCGGTTCAATGACAGTAAGTGAGACTTCAATTTAGTCATGAAGCAATAAGACATGTGAGTAAGCATTGATTTCTGAGGAACTGATGAAGTGGATGTACTATTATTTTCAGAAATAGCATAACTAAAATGCAAAGGCTCAACTATTTTAGAGATATTAGTAGAAACCAATCTTATGTTGCATAATTAAATGGTTAACAGATATAATGTGAACACACTTCCAGTTTTGCTGAAATGCATTTGAGAAAATGTATCTTTGTAGATGGGGCTGCAACAATGGTATTGCAACTACTGGTATTTCAGCATCATGGAATCACCATGTAGGTAAAGAATTTTTATTTTTTGTTACCCTTTTTCTTTTGCTTAATCAATGACTCCACGAAGATAGCCAGAGTATCAAGACAAGCTAGTCTCTACCATGTGTATTTCAGTGTATTCAGGAAAGATTTTGTTGTTGTTGATCCACACAACATAGCATGCATATCTAGGGAGACATTATGTCAAACAGTTAGCATGTATGACTGCATAATACGAGCTCAGATCAGTACCGAGAGGTAAAAGAAAGAAAAATCAACTATGACTCACAGGGATCAAGGATGAGTGATAATGATTTGACAATGCCAATCATAAGTCATTAGCGAGGTGGAGATGAAGCTGCAGTGCAGAGCACGCAACTACTCTTTTTGGCCACCGCGGTCTTCAGGAACACCATCCTCCACGTCCGACACCAGGATGGAACCCAGCAACACCGCCGCTGCAGCACGGGACAGCCATGCTCGGGACATATGCTGGGGACGGAAGGACCGACGCCGGCATCTCGTGAGGACGCCGCGGGAGAAGCCTACTTTCTTCTCTAGGCCCGACAACCGGATAAGGCGGAGGCCCGGGATGCGGGAGATGCAGTTGCCCAAGCAGCAGCGAGGTCACGGGCGCAGGGAAGCCCTTGGTCCGGCGCCGCGCCGCGTCACCGGTGGAGCGCCGCGCCGCCTTGCTCGGGTTTTTCCTGCTCTTCCATTAGATGGATTGAGGGTTGATTTCGGTAAAGTTCGAGGGCTTTTTGAAAAAAAAATCTGAGAGGAGGCTTAGACTGCAGGTTGATTCAACTAAATATCGAGGGTGTTTTTGAAAAAAGACCGCGGCTCGCCCGATCTGGGCTGTCCACGCACCCGATCGAACGGCCGGGAAA